AAAAAAAAAAAAAAAAAAATTACGCGCGTAATCGTTCGTAAAATTTCTTTCCCTCGCCCGAAGATGGAGAAAGGAAGAATCCGATCGGCGACGATCTCGCTGTAATAATAATAACAATAACAATAACGTGTGTTCGGGGGCTGCATTAGAAGACGTCGACCGGCCGTCCAGCCAGCCCATAAATAGAAGGGTAAATACCCTATAAATCAGCGGCTGTGGCCTCGATCGAGCGGGCAAAAGGAAAAGCGGGGCTCAGTTTTCGTGCTCGACGGCCCTGAACGCGTCAGAGGAAAGCGTACAGAGACGGGCGTGCAACCGAGGGTTTCACGGTATTTTTAATTTCACCCTCTGTGCGATCGTCGTGCGAGGCGCCCGTGCGCACGCGCGCCCGTGTCGTGCACGAATCGCGTTGTTGTTTGCGCGCGTTGCTTGTGGTTGTGGTGCGGCTGTGGCTGCGACTACTTCACCGCGGCGAGAGGATGAGGGACAAAGAGGAGAGGAGAGGAGAGAGAGCTCGACGCATCGACCTCTTACGCATGCGAACACACCGTGCCGCAGAGACAGACGGACAGACAATGCACCTCTTCCCTCGACCTACGTCAATGCTGCGAGATTAAACTGGCACAGTGGCGCCCTCCCCCCACCCGCCTCTTCGATCTCTGTGCCCAAACTCGGGGACTCGGCTGCGGTAATCCTTCCCCCCCCCCTCCTCCTCCTACTCCCCCTCTTCCGTAGTCCAGACTACGCATGCGGGCTATATTTAAGATCCAGTAATTGATACAAGGAGGAGGATGTATTGTTGTGGGATCAAAGATTTGGACAGGTCGAATTCATGGACAGATTTGGTATGGATAAGAAATTAAATTTGTTTGTTTTTATGATGTATGGAATGTATGGAATTTAGAGATATCTGTATGGGTTATTTTGAAATGGTTACAGTTAGACAGTCGGGTAATAAGAATTGGATGAAAGGATCAAGGTTTAAAATTATAGGAATGGGTATACCGGATATTGGATATGTTGTTTTAAAAGTATACGGATATTACGGGGAATTTTGGAGGAGCGCGAACTCAGATTTAAATTTTCGAGAGAGGGGAGAGTTGCGAGAGTTTCTCGGATGGCCAAGGAAAAGTTATACTAAAGGAATGTTTACTGTTCCGCGAGAAATTCGCGTATTTCGAACCCACCACGAGTGCTTCTCTCTCAATCCCTTCCTCCTCCATTCTAGATCTATGATAGAGGATGAACGACCTTTTTTTGAAATTATTGCGAAAGATAGATCGCGAAAAGGTGATCCCGACTACAAAGGCGAGCGACAACGAAACGGAGAGACAGATAGATCCCGAATATCGACGATGGCAATTCACACACAATGGCCGGATAAATTACGAAACGTTTATCAAAGATCGAGATGAGATCTAGAATTTAAAAAGAAAGGGGGGAAAAAAAAAGAAGAAGAACGAATTCGTTTTTCTTCGCCATTGTCTCTCTGCAAAAGAGAATCCTTTTCACCCTTTCCGAGAAAAGAACAGCTTTATATTATTGCATCATGCTCGAATGTTTCTTTCCTTTTTCTTTTTAAGAATGCAAAGTATCCTGTTGCACCGAATTGTTATTTTTGCATACGTAAAAAAAAAAAAAAAAAAAA